CAGGGAGGGAGGGAGGGAGGGAGGGAGACCGGTCCCAGGCCAGCGGTGGGAACAGGGTGGGGCAGGACCAGAAACTGGGGAACAGAAACACCCACACGCCCAAAAGCTGAGAGATGCCAACGCGCTCGCTCCCACCGCGGCCGGCGATGCCAGAAGGAGCCTCTTTGTATCCGGCTCGGCAGCCACGGGGGCTGCCGCCCTCGGGCTTCAGGTGTGCGCTGGTCAGCATGCAGAAGAGCCCCGCGCTGGCAGCACACGGATGCTCGGCACGGATGGAGCTGCCCACACCGGTGCTGGCAGGGGGACGTGCGGCAGCCCCTGCCAGAGGTGAGTCGAGCCTCCGGCCCTTCTCCCTAGCTTCCTAGGGCCGTGATGGCACTCCCACCAGCTGCTGTCAGCATCAGAGATGACGGGGAACGGGAACCCCATCCTTTGTGGGTGGAGCAGGGCAGCAGGCGCTTCTGCCTGGGCTGGGAGCCAGCACTCATGGCGTGAGGGCACGGAGGTCTGCGGGAGCGAGGGGTAGCAGGTAAAACTGCACAGGGGAAGAGGAGTACCGCCGCAGGAGGTGGCTGAGGGGACCTGGCTTTCTTCTCACGAGTAATCTGAAATAGGCCAGACAGCGTTCTGCGGCACAGGGAGGGCATCACGGAGAACTGCAAGGGCAACACGAGGGAGAAGCAGCACAGTCTGCCCTTCCCTCTGCTGTCTCTGCAGAGACCCACAGTGCTCCGAGGGGGCCACGCTGCTCCTGCTGCCCCTGGTAACGCAGCCCAGGCGGCTCCAAAAGGGATCACAGCCCCCCAAAACTGGCTGCTGATACAAGACGACTCCTGCAGTGCAGGCACTTGGTGGGAACTGGAGGAGCCAAAGGCTGGGAAGGATTTACTAGGGGTCCCCAAGTGGTCACAACTGCCCCAGGGCATCAGTGCTCAGCTGCCTGCTTCCAGCAGCACTGAAATGAAAAAAGGAGGGGGCAATAACCCGCGCAGCAGGTAGAAACGCCTCATAAAGTTGAGTCTGGACCTGAAACACATCCCCTTTTTCCAATTTTGGTCATGTCTGCAGGTCTATGCAGCTGAGTGAGACCAGTGAACCATCCTGTCTCACTGGACTGTCTCCAGTATAGAGCAGAGTCACACAGAAGAGATCCCCTGCCATCAAGGCTCACGTAGACATCAGCTGAACTGAGGTTTTAGCCCATAAAGGAAGCTCAGCCGACGGACCCAACAGATCCACTTGGACTACGTCCCAGAGATGTTACCAGGCAACCATTTCTGACTACCCCCAGCCACTTCTGGCCCAGCCAAAAACCTGCGGGGCAAAGTCAAGGTGAGATCAGGACACCAGCTGCAGAACTGCCGCTCAGTCCTCTCCCTGCGTGAGTAGAGACAACACTGAGAAGGCCCCAGGAAAGACCCGTTCTTTCCTCAGGGGCAGTTTTATCCTCCTGGAGACTCAGCCTGAATGCTAGCCTGAGGAGGGATTCCTGGAACGAGCGAGCAAGCAAGTTGGGGAGTTGCCATCTCTGGAAGAGATTGCTGAGCAGATTGGCTGCCGCATTCATGTTTAAAATGTCCTCAGCAGAGCACCTGACCCGCTCCTCACATCAGAAAAGACAAGGTAAAGGGGCCAGGAGGGAAGATACGAGCCATAGGCAAGAGGGCTCTTTCGTGGAGCCCCAAGACTGTATAGGAAGAGTTCCCTATTTTAAGGGGATAAATATTTGCCTCAGCTGCTTTTTATGTCCCATAAAATACATCAGGGGAAAAAAGCAGCAATATTCAAACCCTAGGCTGTGTCTTCAGTTCATTCTGTTACCAACGTAGCTAATGAGGTGTTCCTTCAAGGGCGTTACCCGAGAAGCTTTCCTAGCTCTTAGCCCCGCTCATGCGACCAATCTGCCTGCATGTGCCTGCTTCCCACGTCAGGCAGAGGCCTACGCCAGTCACCTAGGCAGGACAGCACAGCCCTGCTCAGTCCGGTTTCCCACTCATCCATTTTATACCACCACTAAGAGATGGGAGGAACATGCTTTTAACAAGTTCCCGGAGGCTTTTATTTACAGAAGCTGTTTGTCAGAGACTAGAGCTTCTTGGTTTCTATCTGATGCTGTCTTGACTTCTCTAGTCTCTGAAATAAGATGCCAGTGTCAGGTCCAAGCTGTCTCCCTTCAAAGGGACATGGCTTCCCATTGTAGCGTGGCAGAAATGTCAAACTTGAGAGACCTCTCTCTTCTGGCTCAACAGCCAGCCTGGAAAGCAACTTGTCTGCAGTGTGTGGGATCACAGGCTGCAGGAGGGTCCCGTAGACACGCAGGCATTCCAGCGTAACGTGGATGATGGTGTCAAGCCAGAGCTTCTCTGCGGGGTCTTTTTGGTTGAGTTTCCAAGGCCTGTGTCTCTGGAAGAAACTGTTGGTCTGCCTTACGCACAGGGCAATGCATTCTAAAGCCTTGTAGATCTGGAAACCTTCAAAATAACTAGCCACCTGCAGAGGCAGAGAAGCCACAGATGCCACGAACTCATAGTCTTCAGCAGAAGCCCTACCCACGGCTTTCGTCCCCCTGTAATCCAAGATCTTTGGAAAACAAGACTCTGAGAAACAAGGGTAAGTGTTGCTGGGGTTAATGCTGAGGGCTGTTGACCGATTCAGAAGCCCCCCAAGAGCATCCGCCAGTTCTGAATTCACTAGCTTAACAACCTTCTCATCGTAATAGTCACAATCCCGCTCAGGCACACCCTGCCTTAGCAGGAAGTACCGAAATCCATCTACTGTGTACCGTCCAATACAAGCAAAGGGGTCAATCACGTTGCCCAGGCTTTTGGACATCTTCTGTCCATGGACAGTCCAGTGGGAGTGCACAAAGATTCGCTCGGGGGGAGCCAGCCCTGCTGCCATCAGCAGTGCTGGCCAGTAGACGGCGTGAAACTTGAGGATGTCCTTGCCCACAACATGGTGCGCAGCAGGCCACCACTCACCGTGTGTCTCAGGGTAGCCCACCACGCTCAGATAGTTCACCAAGGCATCTACCCATACATAAATAGTTTGTGTTGAGTCACTGGGAACAGGAATACCCCACTGCAGCCGGCTTCTCTCACGAGAGACGGACAAGTCTGGCAAGTCCTCTTCCAGCCAGCGGAGCACGTGCTGGTAGAAAGGGTCAGGGGAAATGGCGTGTGGGTTGTCCCGGAGCCACTTCTGCAACGGATCCCGGAACGCCGAGAGCCTGAACATGTAATTCTCCTCTTTGGTCCAGTGTACCTGAGAAGGCAGGAGAGAAAAGAACTATGGCCCAAACGCTCTGCAAACAGTTTTACAATTTGCACGCAGCATTCTCAGCGTGGAGTTTGTCGCACGCTCCCTCTGCGTCTGGGTGTGCTCCCCACCACATGCAAAGCCCCTGGTATCTTTCCATGACTAGTAGGAACCTCCTCTCCAAGACACCACCTCCCTGGGTTCCCCAGGGCAACACGTGAGGACTTAGGCACTTGGGATGGCTCAGCACTCTGCTGTTAAAGATGCTCGTGCCCCCAGGGAAGGAACACCTTTCTACCTGCCAGATTTACGTGTCGTCAGGCAAGAATTAGGGAGACGAGAATACACTTTCTTAAAAATGTAGTTCTGCAATAATAGTAGAAAATCATGAAAAGACAAAATGACATTGTTAATTACTGCCTAACAACCCTGGTGCATGCCTTTGCTTTTCTCCTAGGTGCTATGTTCCTCTTTTTCCCCGGTTTAAGCATTAGTGCATCTTAGTTGCTAACTTTGTTCGCCTGTAATCATGTTTAAGTACTGACAGCACTTCTCCCACACATTTAAATTCATTAAATGACACATTTAGCTATATCAATGAAAACTTTGTGGGTAGACAGGGTATGAGCGAGCTGTGTAAAGGCACTCAAGAGACCTACAGCTAGGCCAAGAATTCTTACCTCTTAAAGCTAAATAAGGCTTTAAGATAAGAAAGTATAGGCTTTGGCATCACGCAGGAGAGTTTCAGTTTCTAGCAGTGAACCCAACAACTTCTGACTGAGCAAGAAAGCACCTCACTCTCAATACAAGCAGTAAAAAGCCTACCACACCTCAAGCTGAGATACCCTAAGGAATAATTAGTCCTAGCGGCATGAAACTGCTTTATGATATAGTTGAATGTATCTAATTTCAGCAGCAGCCTGTAGCAAATACTACCTTCGCTTACTGGATTAGAAGGTCACCCCAAAGGAAATATTCTCCCCTACACAAGTCATAAACAAGTTACACAAAAATGTTTTGGTCCCCCCCCAAATTCTTTATGTTCTTCCATAACCTTTTTTGGTTTCTGGGTACCAGCTCTCGGCACTCTGTCCAGGAATAACACTTCACACAGAGCCAATGCCATGTCCTCCATCCAATATTCCCTTTTACACAATCCAGCGATCCTTTTGGTAACAACTCAGGACGCAAAAGCCAACTCAAAGTGGGACCTGCAATCATTTCTTCTGAAACGCTGACCAAGTCTGGTGTTTGGCTCTGAAGAGCCCACCTCACATTACCCACCGAGTGCTGAGAGCTGAGCTACCTATCAGCTAGCCGCCTGCAGAAAAGGTGGTTGACAGGTGCAGAAAGCCGCTCAGTGGGAAGAGGAAAAGAGATTAGAAATAGGCTGTCTCCTGAGAACTGGTAAGTTAGAGCCTGGAGCACGCAGAGAGGTTGATAAAGGGCAGAGTAATTTTAACAACCTGCAAAACCAGTGTCTTTGTTCAAGGCTTGCCTGTGAACAGTTACTGGAATATCTGCCCTGCAGAGAAATCTGCGTGCCGTCTCTCCTGACCTTCAAACAGCCCTGACCTCAGGAGCACAGGATAATTCAGGAAGTCTCTAGTCCAGCCTCCTGCTCACAGCAGTCACCTACGGGGTTAGAACAGGTGACTCAGGGCTTTAGCCAGGCACATCTTGAAAACCTCTAAGGATGGAGACTGCAGAACTTCCCAGGCAGCCTGTTCTGCTGCTTGGCTGTCCTGATGAGGAAAAAGTTTCTCTGTAAATCCAGTCTGAACTTCTCTTGTTTCAACTTACGACCATTCTCTCATCCTCCTGCCACATACCATTAGAAGAACCCGGCTCCGTCTTCTTGATGACCTCCTCGTAGCTATCGGGGAGCTTCTGCCACTAGGCCCTCCCCAAATCCCATCTTCTCTGAGGTTGGAGAGGTCAGCTACCTCAGCCTCTCCTCAAACAGCAAGTGCTCCAGCATCCTAACCATCTTGGTGGCCCTCCGCTGAACTTCTTCCAGTTTCTAAATTGTGTTTCCTGTATTGGGGGGGACGGAAAACTGGATGCAGTACCTAGATGTGGTCATTGGAGTGCTGAGTAGAGGGGGATAATCACGTCCCTTGAACAGGCATTGCTCCTGTTCATATAGCCCGAGATAATCCCGTTGGCTGCCTTTGCTGCCCGGGCACACTGCTGGCTCACGTTGGACAGTTTGATACGCAGCTCAGGCAAGTAATTGTTCTCAGGGTATATTTGACTTTGACGCCTGCTGGCTCTATTTTAGATCTAAAGAATGATTTCTTTGCCTGGGAACTTATCTTTTCCCCAACGACATAAGGTGCTTTATCAAGAGATATTATTTGCCAACATACCCCTTTCTGTGTGAACCAACACTCCTATGCCCCAGCCTCGTACAAATATCACAAGAGCATAACCTCTGCTTAGCTCTGAAGCGTGATTATCTGCAACTGCTGGATTAAATCATGTAACTCCTGACACCTTACAGAAAACACAGCGTCAGAGAGGCTCTCAGTCAGGTACCACACTCCCGGTTGCATCGCTATTCGGCCATCAGACTAGACCACAGGCAGATATGTTACGGTGTTTTACATAGGGCCGAAACCCACGTAACAAGACTGATGAGAAGTGTCCAGAGGCCAAACTGAATCACCTCACGAAACAGGTCTGAAATCCGGCCACCCAATGAACACCTCAGTTATAAACACCTTTATCCTTCCGTACAGCTAACTTCTTTCATCGCTGCTTTAAAACACTGTTTCCAGGCCAGCAGCCTGTGGAACCCAGCAGCAGCTGAATCCTTTCCATGGCACATGGCTGAAATTTGCATCTGCCGGTTGGGGTTTTGGCGGCTCTCCCTTGCATAGCCACACACCACTATGAACACAGAAGAGACGGTCTATGAAATACAGGCGCGTCTCAGCTGACATGAATTACAAAACGCTACAGGAAGCATTAAACACCCCCAAATTCGGCCAGACCAGAGCAACAGATGAGTGCGCCGTGTTTCCGCAGGAGTAGCCGCCCTTGACTGGGACGGTGAAGGTGCCGTTACCTGATGGCCGGTCTCCAACGACACCTTGCACGGGTGACCCTGGGCATCCCTGCGCTCAGCGAGCTGGCTCTCGGGCAGGAAGCACTCCTCGGGAGTGCAGTACCAGCCCTCGTAAGACCCTTTGTAGAGTGCCCCGCCGTCCCGGAGGGCGCCCCAGAAGTGACGCACGGCTCGCTGGTGGCGGGGCTCGCTGGTGCGGGTGAAGTCGGTGAAGGAGACGGCGGCCTGGGTCAAGGCTTGGTGGAAGAGGCCCGAGACCCGCTCGCAGAGCTCCGGGGGAGACGTCCCTGCCGCGGCCGCGGCCTGCTGGATCTTCAGCCCGTGCTCGTCGGTCCCTGAAACGGCAAAGAGGCCGAGGTGCCGCGGGGGCCGCGGGGAGGCGGAGCGGGGGCCGGGCCCCCCCTGCCCCCGCGGGGAC